GCACGATAACAAATTAATGTCATCGCGATTGATGCGACAGTAGATACCTAATTTAATTGTTTCGGAGATTAACCAATTAGATAAATCGTGGACAGAGACAATGAAGGAATAAGTACTTCACTGTGCAGCGCGATTTTAATGGGGATGACGACTATTTTTTTTCTTCCTTTATCAGGTAGATTATCAAAAAGTATTGGACAAGGATTTCTTCTTTTTTCACATAATATAAACAGAGATAATATTGATTTGAAAAGTGGCATGACGTTACGTTTTGGTACAATTTTCACTTAAAAGTGACGTCACAAGGCCCTACTCCCAAACTTGACGCGTTATATTACTTTGTCATTTTTTGTTTGATTGCCCAAAGAAAAAATACGTGTCCATTGTTTTTTTGATCATCTAACTGACGGACTAAATAGAATTTCCTTTACTGTACCCCGTCATCACACCTATATTATACTTTTTAACCTAAGTTTTTAACCAATCAGGCGCTAATAAAGTTGATTATGTTATTAAATTTTACGCGCTTGATGATTCACTTCGCTTTAAGATATTTTAATAACCACTTCTCTACTCTTCTCAAAATTTCAAAAATAAATGTAAAAGCTAATTTTAGCCCCTAGCCGCAGGCGCAATGCATTCATCGAAGTTTGCGATAAAATCGTTTAAAAAATTATATGTATAGGTAGGTACTTCAGTATAGTATTGACCACAGAAATAAATAAAATCAGTTTGACTCTAATGACTGTTTCATATCTTTATATATATAATTCTTCTGTGAGTGTGTATGTCACTGAACTTCTCTTAAACGACTGGACCGATTTTGATGAAATTTTTTGTGTGTGTTCAAGGGGATCTGAGAATGGTTTAGATTCACAATTTTGTCCACTGGACAACCCCTATTTTTTAGGGCGGTACGAAGTTCGCTGGGTCAGCTAGTTTGTCTATAAATAAATAAACATTCAAAGCTTCTAACCCTAAAGCATGGAATATAAATGATATGAAAATGAAAATCCATATATAAACCACAGTTTGAAACTGGAGGAGCTCGATGGCGCAGGTGGTTAGCGCGTTCGGCCTGCGATCGTGGAAGTGAAGCAACTTTCGCAATGGTCGGTCATTAGATGGGTGACCAAAATCTTATATCTCGAGCTCCTTCGGTCTTTGGGAGGCACGTCTAGCCGTTGGTCCAGGCTGCATCTTCAGTTGTTAGCATCCTTCAGTCCGCCTGGGCCGCCGTGCTGGGGTCATGGCCCAATCTCCCTATTCAATCCATAGGGAAGGTCTGTGCCCCAGCAACGGGGACATTAATATGCTAATAATGATGAATAAACTTTCCTTCTTTTTCATATTTCTTTAAATTGACAAACACAATTATTCCAATATTATAAATTATTATTATGTACTAGTGGCCCGCCCTCGCTTCGCTTCGATGTAGAGCTGTAGTGTAGATTTAAATGACTCTATGAAGAGTCATATGAATAAGTAATTATAAAGAAACTGAAAATGATATATTTTCCTTTACCAAACTTCTATTAACATCACATCGCACAATTGTTTTGCCTTCCCAGAATCTCTCCAATAACATTTGAATGGTATGGTGTTAAAGTTCAAACTGACTTTTAAGTATTATTACGAATCGTTTGTATGGGAGTATAGAAAAGTGATGTTTTTGGACATTTTCAGGCATTTTTTAAAATTTTTCTCTGCATAAGAACCAACCTCGTACTTCAAGGAATATTCTTAAGAAAAGAATTATCGAAATTGGTTCAGCTGTTCTCGAAATTTGCGCTTAGCAACATATTCAGCGATTCATTTTTACATTATAGATGAGTATTTTATTTCATGTACACTATCAATGTAAGAATTTTGTGAAAGCCCTTTTAAAAGTAGCCGTAACTCGATACGTGCGCATCAGCCGCTGTCAAAATGTCTACCAAATAGCGACCGCAAGAAAATACTCTCTACACCATGTTTTACAAGGTGCACTAACGATTTGCCAGAAATGTATTCCTCGAAAAATGGCTGACAGACAGTTAAATTAAAAGGACAATTTAAGATGCTAAAAAGTAGATACATCTTGTGAATTGTCTATTCTGACTGAAGCTACTTATCACTGCATGAACACAATATTATTATTCCAGAATAGTGCTTTTAGCGGTCCTGTACAAAGTTGAGAATCCCAAGTCCTTGAGCTGGTACTCCATCCAGGACTACAATTTAAACTTTACTCTGATTTACCGTAATCATTCCTATCTATTTATTTCTTCTTAAATGACAATAAATATTTAACATCGAATACTCACGGATTGAACAAAGAATTGTTAATCTATATTTCATACTATTTATCTATATATATATAAAACTCAAAGGTGACTGACTGACATAGTGATCTATCGACGCACAGCCCAAACCACTGGACGGGTCGGGCTGAAATTTGGCATGCAGGTAGATGTTATGATGTAGGCATCCGCTAAGAAAGGATTTTGATCAATTCTACCCCCAAGGGGGATAAAATAGGGAATGAAAGTTTGTATGAAACTTTGTCAATTTTAAACCGATCGGGCTGAGACTTTGCATGCAGGTATAAGAAGAATCATAGATGAATGTCATTGTGTATAATACAAGCCTGAGAACAAAAACTGTAGTCTACACTTCAGCTCTACACCGAAGCGAAGCGAGGGCGGGCCGCTAGTAAGACATAAAGCGTAAACAATTGCATTGCAAAAAAAAAAATTTTAGTTTTCCTGTTGTTTTACCGCTCTTTCTCTCCTAATAGAAATAATTATTAATAATTGAACCTATAGCACGATTTACTAAACATAATACTTACGGCATTCATATGATTATAAAAAAGAACTACACACACCAAAAGTGTCTAGGGATCAAGCATTTTTATGCGGATTTCTTGAGATTGAGATGTGGCTTTGTAATAAATTTATGATTTTATAAATTTATATGGATCCTTTTTGGTGCATTTCATAATTTGAATCAGGAACTGTGAATCAAATTCGAGTAAAAGATGAAAATCAGCTGTCAATATTTTCCCTATAAAAACATACAACGCATTGAAGACATTATTAGTGCTACTGTTTCCCTACTACTGATTAAAACCAACGTTATTATGGAGCGGCGACGTCATTTAAGCAGGGAAGAAATGCTCAGAGCCGTGGGAATGATAGAAGCTGGTTCCCGGCAACGTACTGTGGCTTTAGCTCTGAATACAAGTCAGAGTGTTATCAGTCGACTTTGGACACGATACCGAAGCACTGGTACCGTGGCTGAGCGCCATGGAGGACGGTATCGCTGCACCACACGGAGACAAGACCGATACATTCAAATCTTAACTCGAAGAGCTCCAACAATAACCGCCATGATGTTAGCCGTGAGGCTTCATCACTCTTCAGGGAACTTAATTAGCGACCAAACAGTCAGAAACCGCTTGCATGAAGTGAACCTTCATTCCCGAAGACCGCTACGGGTACCACCTATAGCAATGCACAATCGTAGGATTCGATATCAATGGGCTCTTGAACACAGAAATTGGGCAGAAGAACAATGGCGTTTCGTGTGCTTTTCTGATGAGTCTCGTTTTGGTATGAGACCGGATACAAGACGTATACGACACTGGAGAACCCCTGGACGCCAACAGCGATTAAAATCCTGCCAGGAAGTCCATCCTTATAGTGGTGGAACCATCATGGTATGGGCGGGTATTTGGATCGGCGGAAGAACTGAGTTGATTTGGATCAGAGGCAACCTCAACGCTCAAATTTATGCTGAGACGATTGTATCAGACGTCATCGTTCCTCTACAAGTGCAAATCGGTCCCTTATTTCAGTTAATGCATGATAATGCACGACCGCACACCGCAAGAGTTGTAAGACAGACTCTCGCCGCAGCTAACATCAATGTCCTGCCCTGGCCTGCTCAGTCGCCAGACTTGAACCCGATTGAGCATGCATGGGATATGCTACAGAGAAGAGCTCTGCCGAATATGGAGGGTATCCAGTCGCAAGAAGACCTTTTTTTGTTGTTGCAACGAACATGGGCGGCCATTCCACAGCGTGATTTGGATGAACTCATTTTGAGTATGCCAAACCGATGTTCTTGTGTTGTTAGTGTTCGCGGTAGAAATACGGATTATTAATTGTTTAAGTTACCCAATAAAATTTTAGAGAAAACTGTTATTTCAGTCTTTTTTTCGAACTTTTGTGTTAGTGGTTCAAATGTCAAAAATCCCTTTATTAGGAAAATGGCAAATTTCTTTATTAATGCAAAGGTGACTTGGTTTATCGTTACTGTGACAAACGAAAACACTTTATTTGATGAATCCTTAAAGAAAATTTTAATTAATATCAATCAGGAGAAAAGTTATTGCAAAAATATATGTTGATCCCTAGACACTTTTGATGTGTGTATTTGATTATTTAACATCGAAACGAAAACAATTACATTTATAGGTATGATTAAAAAAAATCTACGATAAGTTGTTCGGGTAAGTGACAGGTGACTTTCAAAATCACCTCTCACTGCTACTGGCCAACCTAGCCGGCTTCCGATGAATCTGAGGCACGATTAATACTCAAATATTTTACATAACTCAAGTTAATTGACATGTTAATAATTTTGTAATTTATATATATGTTGGGGCTGACATATCCTTTGCATTGGGTGAAAGCATCTAAATAAGTAAGATTAAAGAAAAGACAAGAGATTCGTTTTAAGTTTTAAGAAGATAACTAGCACTACCATTTGTGTATTGTTGAAATGACTAGAGAATAACTGATGCAATTTACAGTTTTTTTGTTTTTTCGATAATACAAACATAACCTTTTCCTGAATAACCCTCTAGCTGTAACTAATGATGATTAACATAAAAAATATAACCAATAATATTTAATTTAATATGAATTTAATAACTACCGAAACATTAATATGTACAACCGTAATTTTGAAATATAGCTTCCTAGAAATAACCTATTCCTTGTTTTTGTTTCCAGATACGACAGCCCCGTACGTACTGTACAAGGATGGCGTGGAGCGCGCTCCGCCCGGCACCCAGTGGGGCGGAGTCCTGGAGGGGGGCTACCAGCCCATGCAACACCAGAGCCCCGGCGGGCCCTCCCCGCAGCCCGAGCCGCAGCTCGCCTCCCCCGCGCCATCGCCCTACCCCCCCGCGCCCCCGCCCCCGGACCAATCCGACGACCCCTCGCACCACCTCGCGCAACAACAGGCCCAGCAGCAACAACAGCAGCAAACCTCCCCAGAGCACATGCAAGTTGAACAACAGCTCCAGACGCAAACCGTCAACAGCCAACCCAACCAGGAACACCTCGACAGAACGCCGTGCTTCGTCCCCCAACCAGACCTGCAACAGCAATACGCGACACCGTATTTCAAAGAGACTAGACCGGCCAGCCACATGCTCGGAACTGGCGGCTTCCCTTTACACTATCTCAAGCAGAACGGTGGAGTTTTGTCGCTCGAAGGACCGCTAGATCAATATTCGGCGCCAGAGTTACGCCACTTACCCGATATCGTCCAACCTGAGCCGCCCAAGCCGCGGAAACACAACCCCAACTCGGAACTACGGTTGTTTAAATGCCTCACGTGCGGCAAAGACTTCAAACAGAAGTCAACGCTGTTGCAACACGAACGCATCCACACGGACTCGCGGCCCTACGGCTGTCCGGAATGCGGCAAGCGGTTCCGCCAGCAGTCGCACCTGACCCAACACCTCCGGATCCACGCGAACGAGAAGCCATACGCGTGCGTCTACTGTCCCCGCTCGTTCCGGCAGCGCGCGATCCTCAACCAGCACCTACGCATCCATTCCGGTGAGAAGCCATATACGTGCGGCGAGTGCGGCAAACATTTCCGCCAGAAGGCCATCCTGAACCAGCACGTCCGCACACACCAAGGCGAGCGCAATTCACACATATATGCCCCTCCCGGCTCCCCGCGCGCGCCGCCCGCACTGACCGCTGTCACTGCCGGCGCCGCCTGCGATCCCCGCCGCTCCCCCCACGTTCGATTCGGTCTCGCATCCATTGGCCTTCCTATCAAACAAATTCTCGGTCCCCTCGTCGCCCGCGTATTGCAGGGCGCTCGCGAGACGCGGAACCGATCGCCGGACGATCCCGTAACCGTCCTCAGTTCGATTAACCCACTCGTCGGTAACCCTACACTAGACGAGTTCGACACTTAACTCACCAAAGTATTCCATTTTTGCAGATGTGTCGCCGCATCTGATATTCAAGAACGGAACGACTCCGACGCTCTGGCCGCAAGATGTGCCGTTCCCCGCCGATGAGAACAAAGAGGAAATTCAGTCAACGTTCGGCGACGCCGACGGTCAGAACGGTGAACAGCGCGGTTCCTGCTTTTCACCTGGAGACACAGCCCAGTATCCCGCCTATTTCAAGGACACCAAAGGTCTCAATCACACCGTTTTCGGCTCCGGTCTTTCTTTACAATACTTAAAGGGTGGTAAACTACCAGACGTTCTCGGCGGTCGAGCGATGCCTCTCTACGTTCGATGCCCCATCTGCCAGAAAGAGTTCAAGCAGAAGTCCACTCTCCTTCAACACGGCTGCATACATATAGAGTCGCGACCGTACCCGTGTCCGGAATGCGGAAAACGGTTCCGGCAACAATCGCATCTGACGCAGCACCTTCGCATACACACAAACGAGAAGCCGTACGGCTGCGTGTACTGCCCGCGTTTCTTCCGACAGCGGACGATCCTGAATCAGCATCTCCGCATCCACACGGGGGAGAAGCCTTACAAGTGCACGCAATGCGGCAAAGATTTCAGGCAGAAGGCTATTTTGGACCAGCACACGCGGACGCACCAGGGCGACCGACCGTTCTGCTGCCCAATGCCGAACTGCCGGCGGCGGTTCGCGACCGAGCCGGAAGTGAAGAAGCACATCGACAACCACATGAATCCGCACGCGGCGAAGGTTAGGCGCGCGGACGCGAACAAAACACCTCGGCCGCTGCCGCCGGCATCGGCGGTGGTGAAGCCGGAGCTGTACTTCCCGCAGTGCTACGCGCCGCCGTTCCAGCAGTTCCCGGCGGGCGGGGAGTTCAAGCCGGCGGTGGGCCCGGGCGCGCCGGTGGCATGCCTGCCGGCGCAGTGACCCGCGCCGCCGCCGCGGTGGCACCCGGCGCCCTCGCACGCGCCGCCGCACCACGACCTCTACGTCCCCGACCGCCTGTACTGAGCCGAGCCTCTATCCCTCTGCTCTCCGGCGGCGTCGCGGCGCGGCGCGGCGCCTTCTCAGTATACGACTCGCTATGCGAGCTTAATATAAATCGGATCGCTGTAAAACGAGCTTCGATCTGTAAATAACGTTGTTCATGACGAGTCTGTCGCGAATGTACAGTTCAAATGTTCTCCACGAATAGTGTTACCGTTAAAGAAGCGAGTGCAGATGACCTCTTTTGCCCCGTAATATTAAGTTACCAAGTAAGCATTAGGTTTCTCGATTGTTCTCGTCTGGTCGAATTTCTTATTTTTTCCATCATAAAATCTAAGCAGATTGAACCAGAGATTAGAATTTAAAAAAACTCTACGTTGAAATCTAAAATTAAGAATTTGAACTTTTACCACGTAACAAATATTTCGCGATGAATGAATGATTCGGCACGTCATTGTGCCTGTTTGTAATAAATATACATATTTTGTAGATATTGTTAAGTTAATTTTATTTACGAGTATTAAGGGATAAAATCTGGCAAACGAGAGGAGGGTAAACGAATTTAAAGACGCTCAAAATATCTTAAAAAAATAATCGTAAAGAATTTAAAATATGGTAACTTTAGGTCCAAATTAGAAATTTTTCGGCGAAGTGAGTCAGGACATCGATGAAACGGAACGATGGATGTAAACCAAAAAACTACTTAGGTTACCTTTTGCCATCTAATACATAATTTTGTTAATACTGAGATTCAGTTCAGTGCATTTACGTGGAAACTTTGTATTACCGATATATGACTTTTACATTGTTGTAGGTGCCAAATAGTGTAGATAGTGCATTTTTTTTTTGAAAAAATTTCTACCAGTTTCTATACTAGTTGGCCTAGTTTAGGTTGTTACCAGTTTTTTCAACGATGTGACAATTGAAATGCATTTATGAGGAAAGGGTCAGACTGAGAAAGGACTGTGATAGTTAGCTAGGTTAGGTAATCGCTCACTTAGCGTTAAAAATATTTCGTATAAGTGACAGGAACGTAATTCATTAACACTTTTAAAGAAACGAAAAAATCGTTTCTCATTTTAGTATCATTTATTGGACTCGTTTATAAATTCGCTTTTTCCACGCGTACTTACTTACATACTCATGAAATTGCCAAAACGCAACGTCATAAAAATTTAAAATGACGCTTTTTATGTTCCTGAATTTTTGAGTTGTTCGCATTTATTTTTAAGGTTGTTTACTTGCCTTATTAACATTTATTGACTGATTTGATAAATTATCGAAGAGTGAGATTAGTGAAATTACCATTAAGGGAACGTGTGATGTATCGCCAAGTGCTTTGTCGTAGTGTGATCAAGGGATGAGATATGCCAGAGTAATCTTCTTTCTAATTTAGCTTAGACTATCGCCTTTCGAATTACGAAGCAATTCGACCATTCATCGCGAAATAACATTAGACTTAGGGAAATAAAGATATTATATTATGAATTTTGGAACGCTCGCTTGGGGGGCGCCGGCGTTGAAACTCGCGTCGTCCTCTGTTTCTCTCGTCCACGGTATACGATAAGAATTAGTGACACAAGATGGTGTAAAGAGCGCGACCAGAGATAGATATATGAAATATGTCATCTCCATTGATTTCGTGTTGAATCACCACGCTCCAGTCTCCCAGACTATAAACTGTCAGTAGTGCGACGCCCGCGTGCCCCGGCCGGCTCATTACCGTTTTATCATCTCTGTTTGTATCTATAGACGACATAGCTTATTTTTACGATATTATTGTGATGGTTTCGTTTTCCTACCGCATGATAAGAACTGTTACTATGTATTAAAATAGATGTAATAGTACATAAATTGAATTTGTGGGAGTCACATTACACTTTATATACCATTTATTTATCACTTTGAAAGTGAAATGCAATATTATGTTAGCATTTTTAAGCAAATTTATCTCATTGGGCAGTTAGAGAAAATTGTATGCGGGTATGCGTTGACACCAGCGATGACGCCATGTTGGATTCAACGCGCAACCGTTTTCCGAAAGCGCTTTGAGCGTGTCTTGTTTACTGTTTTGATTTTCCTGTCAAACTTTTGGAGGTTTACAAAAGACAAAAAAAAACATCATTATCGAAGAATATTAGATACGATATTATCTTCTGTGACTGAAGTTTCCACAATGTTCAAGAAGTGTGATCCTCCGGAGGCAACGCGCTCCGCTCTCGCCCGCGCTCTTATACAAGATTCAGTTTCTATTATACGTTAATGATAATTACCCTACAATAAACAGCCTTACACAATAATAGTTTATAAGTATTTTTATACAGAAGCAGGTACATTTATGATGGGGGCGAGAGCGGCGCGGCGAGCCCTGACATAAAGTTTGAATACAAACACAACACAGTGCCATAGCCATGAAATAACCTCAGATTTATACTTATTAGATTTTATACCGATACAAATGGATTTAATTTTAAATATAAACAAAGGTGATTAAGTATACAGAGATTACAGATGATATTTTATACATTTATTACAAACAATATTATTAAAAACATAAATGTGAAATAGTCTTAAAGTTAGTGTCGTACCTACTGCAACGTGCTAAGTAACTATATTATCATGAAACAAGTTTTTTTTTAAAGTCGTGGTTTATTGAAGAAAGATCCTAAAATTTTCCACAACTTGCTATTAAATATAATAATAATATATACTATATGTGACATTGTTTGGTATGGTTTATAAAGACAATGATAATATTAATTTGCTGAAAGTTAGGCACCACATATAAAACTAAATATAATAATATTAAGTATAGCATATTTAATAAAGCAAAACAGAATGCAGCATTTACCGAATAAAACTTTATATTATATATATACTATAACATTAGACTGTGGTGCCTACAGTTTGTTATCAAATCAAAACATAACATTTTAACGGGATAATTTAATTCAATTTCCGTCGTGTTTTTAATGTAAATACATATCATCAGAAAATTTTCAAGGCAGTGTTGCGTAAGTACTCGTTATTCCTGTGAATGCCAATTTTAACATGTAAGTATCATAAATATGATTTAGTTCTAGTCTGGACATTTAAGATGAACAAATTATCAAAATTCTTGTGTGTATTGCCAGTGAAAATATAAAATTGAGACTTTCGGCCGTTTTTCGATTATAGAAAAAAATAGCATTGAGTTAAATGTCCATTCTATGAATGCTCACTTAAGTTCTGGATTAGCGTAAAAAAATCCAGAACTTTAATCGCGTTAGTATTCCACTCTGGCTGTAGGTACTGTTTTGATTGCTCATAATACTTTCGTTAAGTTTTGCTCAAATAATCTTTGTACGTATTTCATTATAAAGTTACGTTAGTTATTAATAACGATTCTGTAAATTTACGAGTTTCTAGAGCACGGTTTTGCTTTTCTGAGTATTTTTTTTTTTGTTACTTAAGCATTCTGATTTCTATGTATGTCTGTACGTTTTGTCACAACCTACATAAATAATATACGCGCTCTATATTTGCCGTTTCCAATCTTGCCGTCCAAGCGAATTCAAGATAAGACAAACAGATCACCAGCTTTTATTCCGCATATATTTAGTACCTAAAGTTTTTAATTTTAGTCTCGTTCCTACTGGTGTCGATTCTGGCGTGATTCTTTAAACTAAAAACTAAATTTAACTTCAGTCTCTCCTTTCCATTCTGTATAGAGAATGACAAGGATACACTGTTGTCAAATTTAAGTTTAGATTTAGAGATCGTGCCAGAATCGACACCACATTTATAGCTACTCGTGTAGGTATGTATACTAGTTTTTTTTTGCAATAGCTACGTTGTGATCCTTATTTAATCCAGTCCAATGGTGGTCAATCGTTAATATGGAAAATAATATTACCAAATCCATCAATCTTATCTGAAATTATTTTCTAAATGTATTCTGGCGACATTTCTTTTGCTTATTGAATTAAAGATAGTTTGAAATACTTACATAAACAAAATATATACGCGTCGACTTCAGAATATTTTCCTTTTTTTTTTGGTCTGTTAAAAAAGAAATCTAGCGGTCCTTAAACATACTATTGCAGTTGCGTAGCAAATATTAATTTTACGCAGCGATAGAAGACCTTTAAAATCTTTGTTTACTTTCAGATGTGGTTCTAGATGATATTTGGAAAAAAAATATGAATAATATACCAAGTCAGTAACTATTTAAGACCGTTTTTTACGATATATAAATTGAATTTGATGAAAATAGGGAAAACATTTTTAGTTCCAAGCTATTCAACAATAAATTATTTTATTCTTTTACACAATAAGAAACTCCATTGTTAAGACCACATAGCAGTGCATAAAATGCTAATATAGTCCCAGTCACACAGTAAATCCAGTTCCAGCGAACTATCAAACTCAAAATGCTTTATTGCAAAGGGCCTACACGAGATAGCACATTTTTTACGATTGTCTGACCGCAATATTAGATCTGTTACAATTTTTTTTGCGTGTCCGCAGCATAAATCTTATTTTGTTGATAATACAGAATATGAAATATATAAACTTAATAATGAACTTATTTATGAATAGATTAATTTCCATTTTTAGATGTACCACTGAGGAACAGTTCGTTTGTATCTTTTTTTTTGAGAATTCTTTGCATTGAATGTGAATTTAAAATAAAAATATTTTGGGGTTGTTGAAGTACACTCCGTTTTTCACCAGATGGCGCTAATTGCCATACTAAATTCAGTATAAAAACACATTTGGCGCTCTGGCGACCATTTAAATAATCTGTAATTTTAATTCTGATTATCTTAAATCGTATATGTATAATTATTAAATATACATTACCAGCATAAGTATAACCAGAATTAAGATGCAGGCCTATTAGCTACATATATCACGGCTTTCATATAGACGAATCTCCAAATCGTACATTTGAAATAATATACTTATAACCAAGCTAAATATCCTTATACTTATTTTTATACTTAAGTTGTTTACCTACGATTAATAAAGGAGAGAATAAGATTGCATTGTGAAATTATACTTTGCATAAAAATAATAACATTAAAATAATAAATACTTATCGAAATGTCAATTGTATCTAATACAATTTAAACTTGAGCAATGTTTAGTGTAACGTTCGTTGCCTGCCTCTAAACTACATTGTTTAGGGAATTAGCAATAAGTTGATTAATGAAATTACAACAGCATTAATTGTTATTTCTGTAATGTGTGCATTTACGTATAGCGATCTCACGACAGTCGATAGTTTGTTCTTGAAAAATGTCCGGCTTAGAATCGTGCAGAATTTCTGAGTGTTGTTAGTTGTCCGTTGAACACTCGAATGTAGAGTCGCCACATCACTATTTTGTTGAAATATTTACTCGATAAAAACTCACAGTCGATTTTCAAATACTTTTTGATCCGTTTGATGAAGGAAGTTCGCTTTGCGTCGTCGTCAAATCGATGCCAAATAAGTTTCCGCTTGCAAATAAGGGGACAGATGGCGCTATTCGAAAACGTGATATCATTTCACATTTACGAAAAACTTAGACCAAGGTAATGTGGCGATTCGAAATGTTTGTGAAAAACACCATAAAAACCATTTTCTGTCAGTTCGCGTGAAGATACAGAAGCTTTCAAACCCCGTGGTGTTAAATGTCAAAGTTGTACCGATTCACACTGCCGACACGAGCGTGATCAATACACTTTGGGCGTTACGAAGAAATAATTTCATCCGTTTTAGAGTCGAGCTTAGTGTAGTTGATAACATAATTTATTTTACGTTGGCTACGAATTATTTGTACGTCTTCCATTTTTACCGTAGTCTTAAGTGCTTACTTTATCTTATGTATATTCAAAGTTTTTTTTTCTTATAATTTGTGACAGATAATATTTCAATTATTTCACAAAGTGTGTTTCGTATATCAATTTTAACATTATTTGTACAGTTGATGCAATTTTATATTACTTAGTAAAAATATTATGAGTGTCTACCTGCAGAAAGTGCAGTCCCAGTGCAATACACTTGAAATTTGGCGAAATATTTAAGTAGCGATTCTGTCATATTCATTTAAAAAATATTGAATAAATAAAACTGTTTAAAAGCAAACCGTGTCGTTATCAATCTTTCGATATAGAAAAGAGATTCGATAAAGAGAGAGAGCATTTTGTCTCTAAAATTGCAAGTACTACTGTTTTTATTCGAATATAACAGAATTACTACAATTACTTTATTTTATATTAACTTTTATAAAAATATAATTTTGATTTTAAAATGTTTATTAATAGTGAGTGTCAAGAAATAATTGGTAGCCAACTTATAACTGGCCTATTATTATTTGAACTAATTAATTAGAATATACCCAAACGACATTGCAGACACTGCCACTCGCCAACCACTGTCAGAAGTGTTTGAAAAAAATAATTCTTTTCTTCTTTTCTACACAATAGAGACTTGTTGAATACAGTTCCACAGTAAAATAAGTGTTGTTGAATTTTTTATAAAAGATAAACATATTAGATTAATGATCTTGTAGTCTGGATTGATTTTTTACAGATTTTATTCGACGCAACGTTTTATATCAACCGAGTGCGTTCACAATGGCGATTGTAAATGATATTAGCGATTAATAAATAATTACGATAAAACTTAATCGTGCGCACGTTCGTTCAATGTGAATGCACCCTTGGACCAGTCGCCTACAAAGCACCTTTCTTATTTTTGCTACAACAAATTATTTAAGAAGACAATTCTCCGTATACATATATACAATACAACAATAGATTTTACATTAATATCTACAAATTATACAATGAACCAGTGATATTATAATATATATACCTACATACATACAATTATTAAGTGTACATTTATTTAAAGTGCGATAGGCGGCTTGTCTGTAGGCGCAATTGGTTTGTTTAATGAAATGGGTGCTGTTATATCATTAATTGTACATAATTATTGTAATATAAAACAATAGACTGGTAAATTTACACTGTTGTTAGGTTTCTACATAGTTATCACCTGGCGCTGCTGAAAATTCGACGTTCTGAGTATATTTTTAAGGTACTCAATTAAATGATGTGATATTGTTTCGTCTTCCATTCATTTGGAAGTTATTTTTAAATAGTTAATGCAACATTAACGAATTTCTTTTTTCTGTATTATGATTATTGTCTTCCGATAAATAGATAGGTAAGTTTATTGTTTTACGGACTATATAAAACGTAATTACCAGTGCAGTGTTGCCATAGCAATTAATTTTTACCATAGATTATGGCCTAAGAACGTCAAATGTTCAGTATTGCCAGCCCACACGTTACAATAGAGCTATATTTTCATACACACATACCTACAGAGACGCCGGAATAGATAAATATAAAAATATTGATTTTAGGCAATCCCAGAATACAAGATCGTACTTTTTACACACAACAGTTTAATGAGAGTTATTTTAATTTACCATAGTAAACATTATTTCTCATCAAAATGATAAAGAACAGTTGGTTTGCGAAATGGTCACAAAACATCCTGGCGAAAAAATTGTAAACGTTGGCATTATAAAAACTGTAAGAAAATTTTGTAAATATATACTTTCTAATAGATCTTCCGAAATGAATAATATCAGTATTAAAAAAAATAACAAAATTCGACTTTGGTAAGATAAAAACTGTATGTGTGATCTAAAAGAATTTTTACATTAGGCTTTCTCGTTGTAACTTTTAATATTATCATTAATGACTTTTATTTTCTTTAAGTTAAGATTATATTATTATTTTTAATGATAAACGAAATTAGTTTATTATTTTTAATGGAATTGTAATGTTCTTGCCTAGTTTTTTGCATATATGTTAGTTACGTGAAATAAGTTTGAAGTTGATACCAACGTATTTATGTATATTATTATTGTATTAAAAGGTTTTGTTTGTTTTTCTTTTTTGTCATTTAATAGAATTAAAATGTTGTAAAAAGTAAGCTCGTTGTATTTTATCAAATAAACACTTTTTAGTCCAACTGAAGCAATATCAAGCAGTTTTATTTCAACAACTGTATGAAATATTTCAACATGATTTTTTACATATAGATATATTTATTGGATTATATATCTTCTTTTCTCTTCTCTCTAAACCATTGTTCTTTTATTTGAAAGCTGAACTCGTTGGAATTTTAAGACCAATGATATAAAATTTTACCTATTCGAGATTATTCACCTTTCTAGAACTTTTTTTAATAATTAATATTATTCCGATTTATCAAACCATTGCAATAATGAATGGGTCCATTTGTCCTTCATTCCACTAGTTCTGCAACTAAGTTTCGTTGACCAAACTAGTGGGATTTATTTCACACTAGTTCTATAATTATTATCAACTGTTATTCTATTAGACGACCTCCGTGGCCGAGTGGTTTGTACGCCGGGTTTCATGGCTGTCGCCGACTCGAGAGGTCCCGGGTTCGAATCCCGGTGGGGGCAGATGTTTGTGTGATGAATACGAGCATTTGTACTCCAGTCATGGATGTTTAATATGTATTTATATAAGTATACTTATATATGTACAGTATATGTATTCTATCCGTTACCCTAGCATCCCATAACACAAGCCTTATAGTGCTTACTTTGGGGCTAGGCTAAGTATTGGTGTGAGTGTCGGAAATATTTATTATTTATCTATTATTAGAATAAAACAAACGACTATTATATATGATTATAACAATCTTAGCCAGAATGAAAGAAAGAAAGAATGAAAATAAAATTAGTAATTTGATAAAAAATGTCAAATGCAACTGATAAATGGCTACATTGACGTGCAAAGGCTCATGTTGAAATCCCACACACACACACACACATTTTTTGTTTTTCGAAGTTTAAATGCATTTTTTATGTTATTTTTCCTGTAGCAGCATCAATAACTTTAATCGAGAAATAACTAAAAATACTTAAACGTATAAAAAAGTACACAAACGTATTAATTTAAGTTGTATCGGCATTTAATCTTAAATCACAACACTATTAACTAAGTTATTCACAGAACTATTAGGAAGAAAAATACCATTAATTCGGTCGAAAGAACTATTCAACAGAACTTATGGGAATAAAGGTTTTTCTTGTATAGTGTCTATCCATCTGCAGATGTAGTGAATGTGATGTAGTGAATGTAAAACCGATAATCCTGTTAGTGTAATTGCAAAGCTAAATACTCCATAGATTGGTTGATGATAAACAAAAATAACCGTTTTATTTTAAAATTTATTGATTAACATTCTAATTATTACACTTAACAATAGTCTGAAGTGGCGCCACTGCCTAACCATACAAAACGGTCAAAATTTCAAATGATTTGAATAAATTTTGTCTGGCTGGCCCCACATATAAGAATAAGTTTATTCAGAAACATAGTTCCTCTTCCTACATAATAAATATGAATTTATTATGTTCTTTGGTTAATTCTTACATTCCAGTCTAGTCTGATCTCTTTGCTAATTTCTCTATGCTCTCTTTTCTTCTATATATACAGACATCCATAAACGTCAGAGCCAATAATAAACAGTGACCCAACATATCTTTCTGCAAATCCTTTTGATTCCTAAAAAAGGATTTTAATTTTTCCGATATATAAACTCGGGAGTTGTCGTTAGACTTTTCACCTATACTTTGTAAAATCATCTCCACGGTTTGATCTGTTGATACCTTTTCGTTTCCCACTAATGTCCCGTATAATCTGAAAACACAAAAGAGACCGTTTTTAATTGAGGTGTTTACGAAAATTTACGTCACCAGCCGGCGCCACTGTGACACGAGGTCCATTGTATGAAGTTTTTGGCGCGAATTAATCGAACGAGCATTTAAATTGATCCATAGACATATGTAATTTGACAAATATGTAGACCTTTCGTCTCAGTACTGCCAACTGACGCCTGTCATCCCAGAAAACCCTCATTCAAGTGTGCAACACACGTTAGCGCCATCTATCGAGCTATTACTACACTTCTTTTATACAAAACAGCAATCATTACTTTATTGTGCTTTATTAGCCAGCTAGATTTTGAGAACTTGATAGCATACTATATTTGTAAAGAAAGGATGGTCAAGCAATAAGTCGTTAGTTCCACCCATAACTACAATCCTTAGCCAACTGTAAGAAAAATTCGAACACCAACTACTACTATATGCACGATTCAAGGCCGTCGCCAAGATTTCATAAAGAATTTAACCAAATGTAAAGACATTTAATTTGATCTATAGACTATGACGATATCCAAGATTTGACAGATGAGTAGACCATTCGTCTCAGTGCTGCCACATGATGCCCGTCATTTCAAAAAACCCTCATTCAAGTTCAAGTGTGTTGCGTCAACGCCATCTATCGAACTATACCAGCGCTACTTTTATATAAAACAGCAACCATTACTGTTGTGCTTTATTCGCAAGCTAGATTTTGAGAACATAATTATAAAAAGGATAGTCAAACAAAGTAAATCGTTAGTACCGCGCATAAACGTCGAGACAATGAACTAAGAATACCAACTGTAAAATAAATTCGAACCCAAACTACTATATGCTCGATCGTTTCTCTCTCTCTTTCATATTTTGCTATCCATCTTGCGCTATACATGTAAAAGAGATTCTGTATCCCCATCTCCTTTACGCGTATAGCGCTGTCCCGCACGCCGGATCCAACAAGATGGATGGATATTGGTGCCAGCAAATCTCTAATCACGCGATATCACTTTTTCTTTTTATAAAGACTAGTTAACTTCATGCAAGTATTGTTCAGTCCATCCTGTATCTATGTCTAGCACCACCTGATTGTATGTATAATGCCATCATAGCCTATACTAGCTTCCGCTATCAAACTCAAGTAAATCGGGTAAAACAAACACAAAAATAGTGGTGATAGAACACACTAAAACGATTATTAATAATCGCAGAATTAGCTTGGATTAGTTATTCCGTGTTTTGTCTTTGTTCATTGAGTGACAAATGACATTTGAGTAATATGGATAATATATATGTTATGGGCTAAGTGATTAATCGGGCATTATGAATAATGCTAAATAAGAGCGGGCGATGTGATTATAACCAATCAATTTATCACATTGCCCGGGCATTATGAATAATGCCAGGTGCTTATTGGGCAGAGTGATGTAAAGCATGTTTAATACTTTCAAATGAATACTTAGTTAGATAGACCGAGCATTACAAGTAATGCAATCAATTATCGGGTAGAGTAATAATAAAAACAAGTTTTATAGTTTAGTATTTATTTTTAAAATTTAAATAATCAGACTTCGGATGTACTTCGATAAATTTACGAAGTGCTACATTTAGAAACTATAGTCTATAGTAGTTTCAATGCAGTTTGTTTGAAAAATTCATTAAATCTGTTAAACATTCAGTATTTATAGTTCCCTATTTTTTAGGATGCAATGACTAGGGAAGTAAGAAACAGTACTTCTGCCTTATCTCTGGCGCTGCGGGAATAGCAGCCCCTCCGCCTTTGCGTGACAAAGTCACAAGCATCACTCCCCTTCTCTCCCTACGCGCCTCCAGGCTTTAAAAACCACTCTAGGGGTAGGGCAGACCACGGCGTGTCAGGGTTGACTAAGTCGGTCCTGAATTAAAGCTGTTGTAAAGCCACATTTACCTTTTTTTCTAAGTGTTAAGCCCATACTATTCTATATTTACCAAGATCTCAAAACAAACACAAAATGGCGAGACATCTGTCATTTTGACAATAGTACCTACTTTTTGAATTTACTCATACTGCCCGGTCCAAGCGATAAATACAAGCTATCTCAAACACTGACTTATTACATGGACCACGAGCCGTCCGGCATTATTAATAATGGCCGGGCAATGTGATAAATAGGTGAGTTTAGATTGTAATTAATCACTTGGCCCGATATGGCTGGGCATTATTCATACTGCCCTGGCATTATAAATACTGCCCACATTAATCACTTGGCCCATAACATATACACTGTTAAACATTATACCCTGTCCGCGCGTCGTGCTTCGAGCTCTTGCATTGCACAAACTGTCACCATTTTCCCATTTTATAATAGCTTTTTGACCAAAATATCGCCCTATTTCATTCTCCTGCTCCATGGGGCTTAAACAAAAGTCTAGTTGACTCATGTCAAATAGTACTATACAAATGTTTTTTTCTTATAATTTTTGGTATGCGGAACCAAAATACATCGATTTCACTTCATAAAATTGGAAAATGGCATTTACACACCGTGCAGAAATAGGCAACTTAGGTCACGGAAAAGCGTGCGTAAAGTGCGGGTTTAGGTCACACTGTGCTATAAAATAGTTTGTAGTCTATGCCTTTTAAACACGCTGTCCACCGTGATTGTGAAGCAACAAAATTTGTAAACAACTACACGTCATTGTCGTGTCACTGTGGTTTCTTTCGTCGGACTAAAATATATCTAAAAACTCTTATATTTTGTAGAAAAGTTACCGTTAATTGGTTTTGTTAACTAAATTAATGCTGGACACCGGATTAGTGAAAGCAGAAACGATAAAACTCTTTGATTTAGTAGGCACATTCATAACCTTAAAATTTGTATTTTTAAACTTTAAATATGTATTATTCAATGAGTACTTACATCGAAGTGACCTTTGCTAAAATAAATTACTTTCAGTCGATAAAGTTACAGGATTTAGCAAGTTTTAAACGTGTGTTCGTGTTCATGTGTATTCCTCTAGGCAATTTAAACCACAACTTTTCTGGAGTCTGTATCGATGTGTTTCTACATTCTCGTATAATACAATCATGATAATTACTATATTTACCATGAAATCTATTAGAACACATGGTTTTGTAATATAAATTCAGGTGAGTTATTTCCTACGTGCTTCCGAGTGTTTGTTTACAAATGTTTTGACGTCATAGCATAGACAAATCTATAGACTAAAATGGCCGACAGCGTTTTTGTATGTCCATGAAAAGTCTATTTTAAAATTAAAGTTTAGCTTTCTTGGTAAAAAAAAAATACAATACATTTTTTTCGGTCCAATAGAACAGTTATTAACTTATTTCCAAAAAGTGTCAAATAGCCTATTGTTGTTACTGCACGAACAAACACAATGGTACATTTGTAAACAGGAAAAAAAACAAATTAAAATTAGGTCTCACCTATAAGGTAGAGTTGGTCTCAAAAAGTAAACCACGTGTTTCAATGTATCTGAACCTTCATATTTATCTCCATCTTCATCATTGCTGAAACAAAGTACATCATCATCATCAGCCTATTAATGTCCCCACTGCTGGGGCACAGGCCTTCCCTATGGATGGAATAGGGAGATTGGGCCATGACCCACCACGCGGGCCCAGTGCGGATTGGTGGGTGCTAACGACTGCAAAATGCAGCCGGGACCAACGGCTTAACGTGCCTTCCGAAGCACGGAGGAGCTCGAGATAGTAAATTTTTGGTCACCCATCCAATGACCGACCACTGCGAAAGTTGCTTAACTTCGACGATCGCAGCCGAACGCGCTAGCCACCTGCGCCATCGAGCTCCTCAACAAAGTACATAGGTAATTTAAAATTTTGTATTAACAAAACAAAGTTTATTGTTTTAAACTTTCATGGTCACTAACATTATAGCTATTAACGGGATTGTTACCATGCACCTTGTTTTTTATGAGTCTCCGATATTTCGGCACTGTTGCAAGCGCCATGATCACGGAGTAACTGAAGTAATTGCGGGTAGATGTTATTGGAAGACATATCGGAGACTCATAAAAATCAAGGTACATGGTAACAATTCCGTTAATAGCTATAAAACAAAGTTTACTTCAGGTAAGTTGCAACGCCATCTATCGGAGTCCACTATGTACTATCTTTTAATTACTCCAGCGCCACATTCATCGGGCGCTCGAACCATATGGTATCTAGCCACGATTCGTTAGCATATCATTGATATATTCAGGTATTAGCAACTACATATTGCATAAGTATCTCCCAAAATGCTGCTGTTTTATAGATGTCTTAGCAAGGTGCCAGCTGATCGGAAATTGTCTTTGGTTAGTATATCTGGTGAAAATTGGAATGTTGCATTGCAGGTTCTAGCTATTTCTCCTACTACTGCTATTACTGAAATTCTTAGTTCAAGAATAAAACATACGGAATAAAAATATAGGGCAGCTGTCTTTTATAAAGTGAAAGATGATTTCCCCTAAAGTTAGTATATTTCCTCAAATAAAGATTAATGATGTAAGCCTACGAGTCAGAATATTTGGAGACAATAAACAAGTTCCTAGCTCATTAGGGCATCTGAAATTCCCGGTTTGATGACCGGTACTAAAATAATTTCTTTTCAAATATAGAATCGGTTCGTTCGAATTTGCAATCACTCAACATGAGGAAAGCTAATGGACACAATGGCATACCAGTTATCTTCAAAATCTGTGCAGCTTAGTTTTCTAGGTACTCTTGTGTTATGTGCCGGAGACCTGGAGAGATGCTAATGGATAACCGGTGCCCAAAATAGGGGATCGCTCTGACCCGGCCAACTATCGGCCAATAGCAGGCACCTCAGTATTGTGTCTTCAGTCTTAGAAATGGTTCCTAACATCCATCTTAGCCTCTACCTACGGGATCACTCTCTGTCCAATGACCGTCAATATAGCTTTAGATGAAAACGAACGAAGGATTATTTTATTTGACAACCTCCGTGGCCGAGTGGTTGGTACGTCGGGTTTCATGGTGTCACCTACTCCAGAGGTCCCGCGTTCGAATCCCGGTGGGGGCAGATGTTAGTGTGATGAATACGAGCATTTGTACTCTAGTCATGGATGTTTAATATGTATTTCTATATAAATTTACTTATATATGCACTGAATATGTATTCTATCCGTTACCCTAGTATCCCATAACACAAGCCTTACAATGCTTACTTTGGGGCTAGGCTAATTGGTGTGAGTGTTGGAAATATTTATTATTATTATACATCGACGCGTGTGAAGATCGAATTCAACTACCTATTTGAATTCGATATTTAGGCTAAGGGTAAGGTTCTCACAATGCGCTAGGTACTCATTACGACTAAACAGAGTAAATTAACGACTTTGCGCTACTCATTACGACTAAATAAAGTAAATCTACGGCTCTAAGCTAAACAAGATTTGGGGTAGTTTGAGATATTTTATGAATTGCACGAAATAGGTTACCAGCTGCTGTAAACCAATTTCGCGTTTATTATAACAATAGCGTTTATAATATTAGTATTTATAATATTAGTATATTATGAGCGGACGCGAGCTGAGAGAGATTTGAGAAATAGATATTTAAAAAAAACTAATGCTGTCGCGCATTGTCAAATACCGTGCGATAGGGACAACAGTAGCTAACGCTAAAAATTGCATATAAATATTGCAAAATTCGAGAATTTTTTCACGAAAATAAGTAGTTATACTACTTAGGACTCAATTTTTTTGTAAATACTTTTTGAAACTCCACACTAGACGTCTTTAGTGGTGATAAAAAATTGTATATTTTTGGCATTTTTGAAGGCTTTTGCTTGCTATGAAACACAACTTATCGAAAAACGGAAGACATAGGAGCATAGAATGAGTAAAACTTTATTTTATGTATGAAATTCATTTCTCTATTGATAAAACCCAAGGAGAAATCAGTCGAGAACGTTTGTATGGAAAAAGCATTGCCCAGCTCCCCCCATCTTAATATGTATATTCTTACCTCAAGTGATTGCTTCGGGCATTGATCAGAGCTACTATCATAGAAATCATTTGAGCTTTCTGTAAGTTCACAGCCATCATTTTGGGGTTGTTTGGATCACTCCCGGAAGCTCTCAGTGTTGTCGCTTCAGATTTCATCACGCATATATCGGCTAAAGGGAAAGAGTGCGTTACACGCCAAGCCTGTCAATAAAGGAAAAAGTAGTAGTCGGTTTCAGGCAACGACGAAACCAATATCATTTGAAAGCTTGATTTTTATGATAACATGATCAGATACCTTTAATATATTATTTATCACCTAATAACTTTAAATTGTGTTTGAAAATTTAATAATTTTGTAAGGATACTGGCCACCATGACGCAAGTAACGTCATATTTTAAGTGTGTGGTAGCTTATAACGTTATCAATCATTGCAAATGTCAGTCAGTCTAGTCATGCATGTCGTACAAAGTCGGAGAAATAGAAAGGGTAATCGACCCAGGTTGTACGCATCATCTTATTCAAGTTATAAGTATATTATAAGTTAATAGTAGTAACATCCAAAATTTAGAAAAAGAGGTAAAGATTCATATTGCTAATGGAGATTTTCTTATAGCTAAAAAGGTAGGTGTAATTAAATTGTGGGCTACAACGATATTAAATACCCTAGATACAACACGTGCGCTCAAAATGTGTCCCACTCAAGAAGTGCTTGAACTCCACTCAAGCACTACTTGTCAATAAATAAATAAATATTTCCAACACTCACACCAATTAGCCTAGCCCCAAAGTAAGCACTGTAAAGGCTTGTGTTATGGGATAATAGGGTATAATGGATAGAATACATATACAGTACATATATATAAGTATATTTATATAGAAATACATATTAAGCATCCATGACTGGAGTACAAACCACTCGGCCACGGAGGTCGTCGTAAGATGCAGCAGAGCTCCGTAAAAAATGCGAAAATAATACTTATAGTCCGTAAAGTGCCGGTTTTTCAACAGGTACCTAATATTAATGTATGTTAATTTAACGCATTTAAGGCAAATTTTGTGCTAATACTTACTTAAAATTGATTTCATAGAAAATCTTTGTGACAATCAAATGCATGGTCAGTAATATAGCCGTCTCTTTTCCTCGCGGTCCGTACCTGCTATATTGCTAAACAGCGCATTCAGAATTGAGCGTAGAATCAAAGAAATAAGGTCTGAATACTTCCGCATATAGCAATAAGTCGTAAAATTATACGAGCTTACGTTTCGGACTGTCATAATTCTTTGACGCATTCGCTTTAATTAAGACCTTAAACTGTATGCTTTAAAGGTGATTTTCAATGTTTAATGCCTTATATTATTTAGACTACGCGATCATCTTACGGAGCTCCGGGGATCATCCTATGTACCTTGTGGACAGGTTTGGGGCGTGATTTTGTTCATGTTGGTGTATCTAGGGTATTTAACATCGTTGGTAGGATGTGCTGGTTGTAGATTTTTCACAGCGTACAGCAAACTATCTCAGATAAGAGTGTCGACGGCTTGTCGTGCAGCTTATAGTGCATTTTAAATGGAGGTATTTGTTTCTTAGGTTTTCACGCACACCACTCATTAAATAAAACAAGTTTCAATGGTATAGATGAACTGATTTATTTATTGACGTTTCGCGTCATTTTCAGGATTAATTCAGACGACGCATCCTGAAAAGGATGCTAAACGTCAATAAATAAATAAATCAGTGCATCTATACCATTGAAACTTGTTTTATGTAATGGAGGTGTTCACATATAGGAGGGCATGATTATTATATTGTACACGACTTTATATTAACTGTGAGACAGATTCACAAGACAATCTAAACAAAAGACTTTGTTCATATTTTTAAGTGCCTTTTTCTTATGAAATAAAAAGTGGCAGTACTGTGATGCGATGCCTAAATCGGTGCCAGGATGGATGTTTAGAACGGGCGTTCCATTCCACCCCAAGTACAAACAAAAAAAAATGTTAAATACATTTACTTGTTGTTCAGCAAAACACTATTATGAAAAAAGTGTAATGTTTTCAGGGTTCGTAATTCTTTATTTATGCGAATAAGCTTTATTTACTGTGGTCTTTTGTAAAGTTTATGTGTAGAGATTACTTCACACTTTTGTATTCGAGTAGCAAATCTACTTTGCCCTAAACTTCTTGAAACCTCGAAAAAATCCCCTAAAACAGATAAATGAAGCATCACAGCAGTTTGTGGACGCTCCCGCTCTCAACTCCTCTCGTGTAGTTCACATAACTTAGCCATAAGTTCCTTATATTTTTTAACATTCCAAAAATAATACTCACAATATCCATAATATCAGTGATATGGAACTTTTTGCTGTCTGGATATTCAATTCCATGATATTCCCATTCTAAGACTTCATAAGCATTTCGATCTATGAGTGTCCAACATACACAGTTCACCGATACATACAATGCTAGTACTGTCTTGCAATTCTGAAACCAATTTTTACATTTACCTACCTCCACTTGCATTTTGGCATCATCTTACACAACATTATCAGACTAGCAATGCTACTGAATACTGAGACTGAAATTCTAAAATTCTGTTTAGTGATATTGTCAAAACATTGTGACAACAAACAACCAACTTGTGGACAGGTCAAGTGACACACCCTGGTATTGCAAGTATCTATAAGCTATAATGGCCTCTTGCCATCAACTGGACTGCATTTGTTTGCTACACTTAGGGCGCTTTCAATTTATGCGTTTTTTGACGGCCTGCTGCGGTGTCGAAGCGGTGCGTTTGTCGTAAAGCGTACGGACGATCCTTTTTTTTCAAACAAAACGCGCGGTGCGGCAACAGTGCGGTGCCGGTACCGCGAACGCTCAACAACAGGACTGTTGCCACACCGCGTGTTTTGTGTGAAAAAAAGGAGTAAATTGTAAATTGAAAGTGCCCTTAGACTGGGCACATGTACGGCTTCCTGATTCAAATTCCTGATCAGGAATTCAGATTCTGAATTCTGTGACCCTAGCGCAGAAGTTTCATCAGGAAACGGTACATGTGCACAGCCTTATCAAATAAAAACTTCAGTTTTTTAAATAAAACACTTATTTAACATATTAATTGACATTATAGGCACTTTACAGTAATCAAAATATTTGAATTATTTTTGCACTAGCTACCTTCTCAAGTAATATTTTGCCATCTTTGAATACACATATCAAAGATACTAGAAAAAATCAACTCGGTCAAGGCATCAGGCTGGACTAGAAATAGCATTTTTCCCAATCCAATAGAATACACAAGTGCACTCCCTATGATAGTTAAAAAAATAATTAAGAAATAAAATCTACTTAGCCACTGCATCGAGCTTGGCTAAGTTGCTTTTGTGTTAGAAAAATCAAGCACCTTAATGCTTAAATAGATAAATAATATTGAAGCTCCTCACTCGTTATAATATGCTTATTATTATAAGGTTTGTTATATAAGTATTTTAAATAATTACCTGCCTAAGAGTTGATGACAACACTGGATGTAAAATTGTGCCTTTAATTTTCTTAATTGGTTTAGTTTTATCATTACTATCCTCTGATGGGCCGTTCAGTATACTATCAAAGAGTTTAATTGCATACTTGTCAGAGAAACCTTCTACCATATCTATATCAGACAATGATTTTAGACAGCCATTACTATTTTTCCATTGATTAATAAATTTTACTCTAGCCTTAGTTATATCATACCTAAAAATTAAAATACATAAACATCCAAAGAACTTAAAAATAATCCAGTAAATCAGTGAACATTCCACATCAGAAATTTTATACTCTATTCACAGAAATGACAACAAACAGAGTAATGATGCTAGGGTTGAATTATAGTTACTCCATTCAACAAGAGCAACCTTTGTCATGTAATGGAATTTGCAAAGTATGACTAGTACGAACAGAAGAGTAAATTAAAAGAGAAGAAGAATTTTATACAAAAAAATTCAAGTATCACCTCTTGGTGAACTACTCTTCTACTCATAGCAGTCATACTCCTTTGTGAATGCTTGTGTTGAAAATATTTGCCAAAGCAAAAGGTAAGATAATAAATAAAAATAAGAATTAGAAATTTTCTGCTAAATACAAATAAGCAAGATTTCTTAAAAGCAATTCATTCTTTTATTTTGTTATAATACCTTAACAAGGATCCTCCATCTGATTCATTCACAACTTGCAAAATTTTATGCTTTTCTTCTTCTGAATATTTCGTTTGAAATATCTCACTGTAACTGCAGTTTTGTATAACTACAGCACGACAAATGGAACACACACCGCTCTAAAAATTGTTATTGATTAAGAATCGAACATAAATTATTAAATGTTAAATTATTACAATTATGAAAATGGGTTATAACCTTTTTTAAATTAATAAAAGAACGTAGTATCATTGTAAATAAATGCTACGTAATTGGTACTTTAATATTATTCTGATATATTTAGAGAATATTCAAAATCAACAGTAGTAACTAATTCAAAAGAAAACAATTGTTAGAATCAAACAATTTACTGAAATGTCAATGTCATTCATTTTGACTAGGGATGACCGATACCGATCGATAACGTGTTAATTACTCAGTTCTTACTCGATACATTTCTTGTTAACCGAGTACTAATGTCAGTTTGAAATATTTATTATTTTCTGGTACTACGTATCTAAATCATAAAAGAAACATATTTTAAATATTAAGAAAAGAATGTTATTGTTGTATTTTATATAATTCAAACAATAATTTCGCTAAAGAAAAGTTTACCTAAAAAAAATCCACGTGGACCAGGCAGCGGACGGGACCTGGTCCGCGTGGATTTTTTTCTAGTAAACTTTTCTTTAGATTTAAACATCTAGCAGTTAAATGCTTAAAAAATAAATAAAATCATAACAATAATTTCGCTGTCTAAGGTGGCACCCTTTCTCATTTTATTTATTCGTCGCTTGTCTCGTTATTCTTTTGTTTGATAACCGTGACTGATAATGTAAATGAATACCTACCTAATTTCACTGTATACTTGTCGCTGCCAATTAGCTCACTGAGCCGTTCAATTATTGACAGCGACGCTTTTTTAGCTGCCTGAATAATGTTCAGTCATTCAATCAAGCAGCTAGTTAAATTACTTCGATTGTTAGCATTTAACTACTAACCTAGCCTATTAATACAGTGTAAGACAAATTTTATTCACCGATATCACTTAAGTAAGTTTAAAACCATGCACAGGTGTGCGAGCAGAGTATCAACCCATTGTATTGCTTACTTGTCCGCGGCGTCGTCGCAGTAAAACAGAAATTTGTAATAACTTAGGCGGCAAGGTAGATTTGATTAAATATCTTTTTTATTATTATGCTTTTGGGGGTAAATCTTTGCATTATGGCGACAGTGTGACCTCAGATTACCAGTAGTTTAGACAAGGTTAGATCTGATGAACTTGCTATAATTTAAATAAACGATATCCTTTGTCAGGTATTTAATACTTCTTTGTCAAATAGGCGCCCAATTTTCTAAATATCTTAAGGTATATAAAAAAAATATCACCCCGTCAGTTCTTTAAATATTGTAAAGGACGAGTTGACTAAAAATCTAAAAAATATTTGCTAGTTGAACAGTTCGTGTTAACTATGATATACTTACTGCTATTCTGATTTGCACCCTATTAAAGAATCGATACTTTTAATTTACCATATCACGTAAAGAATCGATTTCTGAATGGTTACGTACATCCCTAATTAGGACCTGACAGTGGGTAAGTGATGAAACTGTCTAAAAAAGAATTACCAGGAAATTCATATTAAAATGTGCTAAATATCTTATATCCCTAACTATGCTGAAACTAGAATACAAAATTATATTAAATTAAATTAGTAATTTCATCGGCTGTTGCACTTGTACCAATTATTAAACAACAAAATTAATTAACTGTGTAATTTCTGCTAAGTAATATAAGGCTATTTAATATTTGAGCAAGCAAAGTGAAATAATGACATACAGAAGTCTAGTGAATGTTTTACTTGCGGAAACGCTTCGTTTTTTCTTTTCAAATAGGTTAATCACCGTAAACATCAGTAAATAAGCGCCCATAACGCAGAAATAAGAAAGGCAAATACAAAAACGCACCGAGGTAGTTCACAACACGATTTTCTAGTAAGCTAGAGCCGATCCTGAGGCCTATTTCATAAGACCCTTATTAAATTTATTATGAATATGAACTTTTCCTATACTTACTATAGAGGATTTTCAAAGATGCCTAACAATATTTTATCTACTATTTAATATATCAAATATCAATTAAAGTTCCACTAGCATAAGCACCGCGATATGATGTATAGCTCGTTTTTATCAGGCTTAACTGTCATATTACTATGGAGTTTGACAGTTAAATGCGATAATAAACGTTATAAAATGTAAATACAATTTTGGTTCCAATGCTATGAGGACTGTCTCATTGTTAAAATTCATCGAAATTAGTAAAATGTTTATTTTGATGACAACACCAAAATCCCTAGCGCCATCTAGTAATAACTTATAAAACTATTATAATGCCCTTATTTTTATGTGCAAATTTTGCCTTAATTAAAGACTACATTTGCATAACAAACCAATATGTCATGCAAGATTTATCGTCATATGGACGATTCTGTTGGATTTAGTATTTCTTAACCCAAGGTACCTTTGGCAGTTAAGATACCCAATAAAATTTTAGAGAAACAGACAAAAAGCAACCAACCTGCATTTTAGTAAAACTGAAGTTGCTTGTGCAATCCGCATGAAAGTATAATAGCAACGTGAAGATGGCGCTCACCCCTCTATTTTATTAAACTTAATAAAATTTAAACATTACCTTTAGATATTCTGAAAATATGTAGGTAGGTAGGAACTAAGACCTATTTTGTTTGGTTTCTTCATTCCCCATAGGTATTTATAGGTACCTAAATTACCTATTTTATCTTCAAACAACTCAATACAGATTGTTCATCTGCTGAGGTTGAACGTGGTGTAAATAAGTAAGTAGTTAGTTACTTACACTAAACTTGATTTTTGATCCATTTTGGAGTCACACTACTTTATTTTTGCATCATTGGTTTGTAATTGACACATAATCCCTACTGTAGAAAAATATATATATAATACAACAAAGTAGGTAATGACACGCGACTAAAACCTGTATAATCAAAAGTAGAAATATCGAAAACAAATGAACCAAAATGACACTGCAAATGCATCAGTATAACTATTTCGATGTTCTGCACACGTTCTGCATTCATCAGTTGTCGAGCAAGCAATACGCAATGAAATCTTGTGTTTTTTTACACATTGTTATAAAAAGAAAACGGGCAACCGAAAAATAAAAGCCAGGAATTAAAATTAAATAGGCTTTTTATTTATTTTCTTGATAAAAGTTCGGTCGATTTTTACTCACCTCGATATAAGTCTGTCTCGCTCTAACTCGCGTCAGAGTACTCAACAAAATGGCAGACCATCCCACCCATTGGCGGTCTCGCGTGCACGGAACGAACAGCGGGTCGTTGCCGTGATTGAGTACCATTTTGTCGATCTCCTTTCAACGAAGACTTGGTGGCGCGCGTTTCTTAGGCAAGACAAGATCTTTTTACGTCGGCTGATCATCTGGAACACCTGGAGATTGGTAAGTTTCACTAATTATAGTTTTTTTTTTCAGATTTAATGTTTAAACGATCGACATTGTTATTGTTTACTTTTTCCTAACCTCAAAATTCAATGTTTTGAAATTAACAAATCTAACATTATTTATTTGTAAGTACCTATTTTTAGTCCAACCGCGGTAGGTATATGACTTAAGATTTATTATCAATATATAGGTACCTACCTACTCTACTTATGTTGAAAATAAATCGTATTAGGAGTTACTTACTTATTTGGTATTCTCTTAAACCCTTACATAAATGGTTTGAAGAAGATTCATAAGTAACTACCTGCATTCCTACTGGTATGAAAGAGGAACTATCTTCAGAAGGAGCAGAAAAATCATGTTAATCTCTGTAGGTAGATGTATTAACATAAATGTTCCGCACCTTCTGTCTTCTCTCTTAAAAAAACAAAGGCAATCGTGTAACACGGGTTTTGAAACAAATAAAGATTTTAAAATAAGTAATCTAGAATTGTAGGTACAACTTTATCTACCACCTATCAGTAATGAATAATGATACATTGACCTGACGACTTTATAAAATTCATTAATGATACCTAACTGACGTGTATCATTATAATACACTGCCAGTCTGCCAGAAGAAAGTAAGTATGGCAACGCTGCGTTGTGCGCAGCAATTTACTTACGTAGGTAGCTGTATTGGCAAATACGCGGCGTTGCCAGTCCGACTTGGAACTCGCTAACATAACATGATGCCGATGCCAGGTTCATAAATATAAGAAAAAGTCAGACAAGCCCTGTCAGCCGATAACGCTCTTAACATGGCAATAATGATAAAGTTGACTTTATAAATGTTGATGAAATTGGTACTTACTAGGTTTTTTTTAGTCATGAGGGTCCCAAATATCCAAGTCATATCTATTTAAAACAACTCTCGTTATGCGTATTTATTAGCTATCTCTTCATGCAACAGAAATTAAATTGAGTTTTTGATAAAGATTGGTTTTAAATCTTCTGGAACTGCTTATATTTATGCTGCCTATTTATTTGACCCTTCTCTATTTATAATAAAATAGCTGATTCACTTTTGAGAACATGATTGCAAAATACCTAATACCATCCTAACTCTAACACCTACCCACTGCAATAATAATTATTATCAATTTTATTATTAGAGGTAAGTAAATATATGGACTTGGGTTTCTTTTTCTTCAATCCGCAACTCAATTCATTCGTAACAGCCAAATATCAGCAAAATATTTGAGTTGAATGACCGTTTTTATGTCCCCTTTTACCTTGCTATGATACATGGTGTTCTCCTCACTATTTTTATTTTACGGTATAGCTACCTGTCGATCGTGAGCATTTCAGCAGATATGTAACAAACACGAAATGCCCCTCTGACTACAGATTTATAATAGAGTGTAAAATAGAATGACAATGAGAAATGTTGGTCCCGTCCCTCTTAGGTTAGAACCAAAACTAAACTCGACAAAATAGTTTGAACGCTTTCCACCGTACGCTCTGTTGGCGTATTGAGTTTTTGAAAGGTGAACATACGAACGTTAGCTGCAATGTATTTCTTGCTAAGGAATTAGCTTGCAGTTGGTTCCCTTGATTTCGAGTAGTGGCAAGATAATCAACCCTTTTTGGGTTAACATCTATCGACACATTTCTGGGTCTCCGCTTCCTCCTTTATTTGAGATGTAAATGCAAAAATATACCTGTAGCCAGTACTTTAGGATAGACCATGTATCACCCATTTAACACCTTATCTTTTTACGTCAAGTCTAAGGTGTAACTAATTTTATTCGTATTTGTAACACCGTGAACGACTTGGTGCATGACTGCAGCAACGAATATATTTTCTGTCTTATCCCTGCCAAATGCCTACTTTAAACTAGAATTTACAGTTTGGTACGATCTGGTATCTAATTAAATATTCCTTCTCTAGTGTTGTTTTAAGTTAAATATAGAAAAAAAATCCTAAAAATAGGCATTTTTTTTAAATGCCTATTTTTTTACAGCATACTAATAAATTGTAAATAAGTTTATCGAAATGTTGTGTTGTTGTTATTCTGAATAGAAGACATAATTCCTCAAAAACTGTTTAAAAGCTATTGGTGACTGGTAATACCTCTGAATCTCTTGAGGTTCTTGGAGATCTTTACAAAGAAGTTATAAAACGCTGTTTGGATGGTTTGAACTGAAGGAAAAGAAGAGACTTTATGCTTTGCCTAGCTATTTTTATGGTGACGTAGGCTCGTTCGGGTCTCCTCGGCATTGCCCGGCTTAACTCGGTATCGGCCACGAAACGACCCACTCGTTCGACACGACGTGACTTTCGTAAAAGCGGCAACGTTATCGTCAAACAGCGTTTCGTAAAAGCGGCAACGTCGCCAGCTCTCAAAACGCCATTTTGCTGAGCTGTTATTTAGGCTATATTTTATAGGTAGTGCTTTTGCTGATCGCAAAGTAACAAACGGTATATTTTTAATCTATCCAAAGCAAGCATTATGCAACGATTCCATAAGTTAGGACTTCTGCGAAGACCAAAAGCGTTTACTTCTGATTCCGATGCGGACGACCTATTTATAAGTAATTTTACATTACGTAATGTCCCTAGCTAAAGATATGATTTCTGTGTCGTTTATAATCGATTAAGTCTATTTGTACTAATAAGGTAAATTTTTCTACCATTTCATTTTACCGTGTACATTTTAAGTTCAGAGAATAAATATTTTTTTATAATCATCATATATTTCAGTAATCAGTAAGTAATCCACATAACATAGACAATCCTATGAAAGTGGATAAATCAAAACATCACATCATCAAAAATATATTACTTGAAACTAGTAGTATACTAGGTTCAGAAGAGGGAGTACTAATTTACGCGATATATAAGTTACGGGTTACAGCAGCCTTCCTAAATAGAAGTAGAACGCAAGAGAACGAAAACACCACGCTATCATCGAAATGTGACCCGTCTGTTAATGTCTGTGACGTACCAAACTACAGAGCACTGTGCGACTCAGAGACTCCATTGGTATGCATACCGAGCAAACTCTGCTTATTCATTCTCGCGCGCTATAAGAAGATAAGTCTGACTCGCTCACCCTGTCCCCTGTTATTTGTTCCTCAGTATCATTGCGATCTCTGTGTGCTACTTAGTCTGTGTACGCTCGGTTCGGTTCGACTGCTGCCACTATGTATGTCGCCATATTTACGGCGGCCATTTTCTTCTCTCTCTTTCTGCTCGTTCGCTGACATTCAGTACCGCAATAGACGCGTTAGTGAACGCGCGTATCGTGTTAATGCAAGATTCTACGATAATTCTTCTTCGTACTTCTGGGATCTCTTGCTCACTCATCTTAGGTAGGTACTTATGTACATTCGATCACAAAATGACTTTTGTTTATTGAATGTTTTAATCGTGTTAGTTGTTTAGTTTTTTTTATTGTATTCTTTTTTGTTTATTTAGGTATCCGTTATACGTATTTTTTTGTTTATTTATATATTTTTTTTTAGTTTTTTAAATAAATTTTATTCCAATGATATTTTATTAAATTATTATTAATAATTATTAACATTTTCCATTACAATTTTTTCGCATTTTTCTTATAAAATTATTCACGAAGAAAAAAAGCTTTAAATGCGTTTTTATAATTTAAGTTGATATTAGCAAATGCTTGATTTTTTTTGTTTGTCTATATTTTGTGAAGTAGGTACCAATAATTACAGTTTAAAAAAATAATCATATATATTAAAAATCATGTTTCTGACAGGATTACCAATTCCTCTCTTAAGAGATAAATCAAAACTATACCTTTGTACCTACCGTGTCGTTACGACAGAACATTCTATTAATAACATCTTCCAACAAAACAATTAAGCTGCGTTCTTACTCTGTCCGAGAGAAGAAACCAGTATCGTCCTATTTGCCAAACAGACGGTTTTCTGGTTTCCGTTCGATAGCCCCTTTTTCTACCTTCACCTCATTCAATTCAAGCTGGAGCGCACGAACTCTATCCGTCCTTATTACTCTTGCGCCGTAAGCGTTGTACGGTCAAGCGCTGGAACGATTTGCACCTTTCGTCTGCTCGTGGCTTTGGGTTGGCACTCAGCTGTGTTATACCAAACGAGTGGGGAATTATTCCGGTATTATCAGACTCGGTCCGCCATCTTGTTGAAGCATTTCTGTATTCGTGTTTGTGTTCTGTGTATGGTTTTACTCGCTATGTTATGTTTGTATTTGCCGGATCGTTTGTTCGGTATATTTTGAAATCCTTGACATTTATTTACAGATGTAGGGTAAATTTAAATACTGTACTTGCATGTACAAAAGTTTTATTTAGATTTTTTGACTATGTTTGAATTACCTACCGTAATAGTAGGTCGAGCGTTTGTATGGTTATTATTTAGAGTACCCTAATATGTATAATTAATAACATTATAGGAAATATTTGGGAACATTTTCAATATAATAATAATTAATAAATAATCGAAGGTCAATATTAGAAAGATTTATCAGGCAGTTGGCATTACTGACGAATACTTAATTATTATTAAACAAACATAGTAAGGATGTACCACTTGTTAATCGCGTTGAGGCTTAAATTCCTGGTAAATTTATCTACTATATAAAAATAAGTCGGGTTTTCCTTCCTGACGCTATAACTCCAGAACGCACGAACCGATTTCCACGGTTTTGCATTCGTTGGAAAGGTCTCGGGCTCCGTGAGGTTTATATCAAAGAAAATTTAGGAAAAAATAAAAAAAAACTTCTTTTAATCACCAAACGAAATGTTACATAAAACGAAGCCATCTGGTGGTGAAACGGAGTTCGCCGGGTTTGCTCGTCGAATATAAAATGTAAAAAATGGTACCTACCTTAGTTAAATTAAAAATAAAAGTATAGTTATTATTAAATTTTGATAAGGATAGACATTACATAGGCATTTAAAAATAAGTGTAATAAAGATTTTGCAATCTTGTTTTTGCAAAATTTAAATGAATTGAATGGCTATGTAGTTTACTTGTATTAAATTAAATACTTACTAAAAATATTTATTAAAATAAACAAAACCAAAAAAAATAGTAAAGTCAACTACTTACGTACTATTTTTTTTAGTATAACAAAAAGACAAAACTAAAAAAAATAGTAAAATAGTTGTCTAAGGATACATGAATCAAATATCATTAACGATCAACACTACGATTTAGAAGATAATAAATAATGAATATGTAACGCGCTATATTATCATAAAACCATCAAAAATAAAATCCATAAAAAAAGGATAGAATTACTAGGCGTCATCTACACGCCTAATGCGAGCACCCGTTATTGCGCGCACTTTGCCGCGCTTAAGCTAAAACTTGGAGGGCAAGGAAGCCTAGGGACCTATTGTAGTATGGGATGGGGCTACTACCTGTTTGCTTATTTATTTGTCATTGTCAGTATATAATAAAAATGTCTAGGTAATTTGTAAAATGTCTACTAATTAAAATTAATTCATTTCATTTGAATCAACAGCTGCTCACTGCAAGTTTTTGATTAATTACAGAATTATTCCCCATAAAATCTTTCAACGGTCGTTGCATCATCACATTTAACTTATACTGAGCGGCTTATTTTTGAATGAATACATATAAAGCTACGGTATTATACGAATTCACCCGATCGGGGGTGGGGAGTGGACTTCAGCCAACTTTCTAGTCGGTAAGCCCCCTAGCATCCGTTGGCCCAGTTTGGCTGGGTTGGGCCGGTTGGATGAAAGGGGGAGAGACAGGCGTATCCCCCTACTCCCCGCCCTGTATACTCGCGGGCCTTAAGAAATGCGGAAAACGCAAAAACTTTAGAATATAGAACTTTTTTCTTGTATTATAGTTATTAACGGGATTGTTACCATGTACCTTGGTTTTTTTTTTGAGTTTCCGATATTCCGGCAGTGTTGCAAGCGCCCATGGTCACGGAGAACTATAACCAATCCCGTTAATAACTATAATATTAGTGACCATGAAAGTTTAAGACATTATATTTTGTTCCTTTTATTTATAAACTTATTTGTATATTAATCAAAAAGCCTTGCCTTCAAAATCAACAATATTATAATGGGGAAGGTAACTCTGCCTATCTTTTTGTAACGTTTTCACACATAAATCGTTCAATGCATTTTGAGTAATTTTAGTATGGAGATAAATTAAACCCTGCAGAAGGTAAAAAAATACCTTAACTTTTAGAAAAAACTTAAAGAAAGTGAAAGAAGCGCTGAAATTTAGTATAATTATACTATCATTTTTCAATTCAGGACAATTCGTGTTATTTGTCGTAAGACTTTTTATTACGCTTTTGTAAAAATTGGCATTTACGAGGAAACAAAGCTAAAACTCAAAATAACTATTCTTATCTAAGCAGACAAAGTCAGTGATGCTTACAACATAGAAAACTTTAGTGTCTGTGCCACATAGTAATTTATTTATTTATCTTTAACAGTGGAATAATTTATTTGGTTATTTACATACAAATATTTAAATTACAAAAGCTTATTGGCTAAAAACTTAAAAATAGAATTATCTAAATACTTACCCATAAATTAAATAATGAAAATCTATGACCAAAAACACTTCTCAAAATATTTTGGCCCTTTAAGAGGACGACAAACATAGAATATACATTGATTGAGCTACATTGAAACAACCAGTGGTAAATGCAACATTGTGTAAGATACAGCTACAGAAATGACGAAATCACACATTTCCAACTTAAATAAAAAATATTTGGGATTCTAATTTGTGTGACGACATGCTTATAAAGCAAAGAGAACACCGAAAAGAAAATCTAAGATAACTCTGAATATACCGACCTAAAGTTACGTAATTTGAAGCCAGAAAATTAGATTCACTTGGTTCTTAGTATATTATTATTAATCCTATATATAATATATAAAATTGCAATTCTCATCCGCCTTATAGTGAGTACATACTCACTGCTTGGGCACAGGCCAATGGATGGAATAGGGAGATAAAATGGCAATGTCTGTATCAAATTGCACACAACAAGTAGGTACTAGAACGACCCTATCACAAATTAAAATTATATTTTTTCATTGTTGTAAAGAAAGATTTTTTACGAGTTTCACTAAGTCTGTAATAAATTTGTAAATGATTGAATGGACGTATGTGTGAAAAGAGATGATTCATGTTGTTCTTATGCCAAACCCAAAAATTTACTGCCACATACTAGCAGATTCCTGCAATAATTTTCAACGTCAGGAGTTATACATATTTATTTGCGTTAATTTTCACTTTCATGTTGTTCTGGAAGCCACAGAAAAACAATTCGTTAATTATTTTTGTTACACCTCATTATTGTTGTGTTATTAATCTGATCGACAGCCTTTTCAATATTGTTAAAGTTCTTTCATATTATTATGCCTTTTATCTAATCGATTTCGTTGGCACGAACAAACGGACCCGACCACACCCAGTTGACAGTTCTATCAGCGTCAGTACCTCGAAGATAGCCCTTTTGCTTCAAAAAATTTAACCAGATATACAAGTGACAGCTCATTCATTCATTTAAGTTTCATTTGTAGTCCTGGTTTAAAAATTTCAAGTCTTGTGTCGCCCATCAATCCGCAAATTTTAATTTCTTTGATAACTAATAAATCTCTTCTGACATTGACGCGAAAAACGCTAGCGCCCGACAAGGATCAGTTCTGTCGCCCACGCGTCCGTTGCTAGTAGATGGCAACACTGGACACTGTTCGGCCAAATATCCCTCGGATAGAAGTAGACGTTACTAGATCAAGACTCAAATTTAGGTCGACGTAACAGTCTCAACAGTCATGCAAAGAAGTTCAATTCAGAGATCATTTGGAAGAAAAAACCAAACAAGCCTGGAAGAAGCTTGGGGACCTTGGGGTGCTCAATAGAGCGAGGAAGTATTTTAAGTCTAAACATTGGTTATTGCTTTACAAAGCACATGTGAGGCTGCATATGGTGCACTGTTCCCACCTTTGGGCTAGAGCATTGGGTGTTCCTCCTTCCTCTTGACCTGATACAAGGGAGAGTAATTTGTCTTGATGAAACCTGTAGACCTATAACCGTATAGCCCTGCGCAAAGCTTAGCTAGTATTTATATGACGAAGACCAACACACTACATACATTTAAAAAAAATCTACTGTGTATCATTATGTGTTATGAATCCGGTACCACAGTATCCCATAACACAAGCCTTACAGTTTTTACCATGGGCTAGGCGAATTCGAATTAGTTTTTAAAATATTTATTATAGCTTATAGCCTTCCTCAATACATGCACTATTCAACACAAAAATGATTATTTTAAATCTGACCAGTAATTCCTGATATTA